CACAGCAACTAGACTTCCCACGGTGAATCCAGCGATCTAATTTCCCACTTTACGACTGCTGCCTGGGACTCGTGTCTTCGCTTCTATTGGTAAATTTTCAAATCAAAAATCAGGAATGACAGATTAAGTTAGAGAGGCTTTGCGGCTGCCAAAGAGCTTGATAACGACTCAGTAAACTGTTAACCGATCATGCCGATGTGGGAGGGGAATATACGGGTACGGTGTGGACAGGAAATATGGGCGGTGTCAGGCTGGTAGGCAGGGTGAGTTCACTCACCAGACTGGCAGGGTGAGTCCGCTCACTCTGGCAGCCTGGAATGTTCGTTCGCTTTTAGACCATCTGAAGAGCAAACGATCGGAACGAAGGATGGCCCTAGTAATTCGTGAACTGGCGCACTACAAGATTAACATCGTTACACTCAGCGAGACCTGGCTCTCTGAACAAGGCCAACTAGAGGAGGCGGATGCCGCCAACACCTTCTTCTGGGGCTGTCGCCCGAAGGCAGAGCAACGGGACGCGGGTATCGCCTTTGCCATCCGGAACGACATCGTGAGGCGACTACCCTGTCTGTTGTGGGCTATCAACGATCGCCTGATGAAACTCTGCATGCCTCACCAACGAGGGGGGAAGCGAATTCGCCACCGTCCTTAATGTCAACGCTCCCCGTGTGGCCAGTCCCTACGATGGACCCCCCCCCCTACCCCCACTACCATCTTCTTCCTCCATCACTGCCTTAACATCCGCTATGGCGACTCCTGTACCCCCCCATCACCACCACCACCATCACCACCACCGCACGCAATCCTGGCACGCCTACAAACATCAACCTCACCACCGTCAAAACCACCTATGTGGACTCGGTCCACACCCATCCTCATTGTAATCGCATCTTCATTCCACACATCGATGTGGGCGGTCACTTGCACATCCATCGCACAGAGGCTGGCGATCCAGTGCCTGGAGCACCAACCTACACTCGCCGTATCTGCATAGGTTTGGCTATGTCCTGCTGTCCACGGTAGCCCTACTCTACACTAAATGACATTTCTAAAAGAAGCATATATTGGTATTCGCCGCGGCTCTGCGAATAACGTCGTGGTTGCATGACTCTTCCAAGTGACTGTGCCCTACAGAATGATTTAATTGCCACGTCTGGGCGTGTCAAACACGACCTTGTGTTCATACCATGTTCCGGGGTACATCAAGGTACCTACTCCCCATTTAGTTCGGAGTTGCAGGTCCTGCGCATGTGGTGCGGAATTATCCCTAGCCTGGGTAAAAGTGGACTGGAGGGGAGGGGATTAGGCGTGTTCATGAAGGTTTGACTGTAGTGTTCATTGGCAGATTTTTGCAAAGGTGTTTTTTGAAGTGTTTTTTCCCCGGAATAAATTTGAACGAGGCAACGGCGACAAAACATGCATTAATTTAATGACGTCATATTTCATCTTACGTATCACGCTGCATCACTCTAGGTAAATCTCTGAGAGAACAGATTAAGATGCGACCACTGGAACAAGAAGTTTATTGGCTTGACGTTTCGGATTCTCACGCGAACCCAACATCAGAGACGGTCGCAGATAAGAGTAGTGGAGGCACAAAAGACTACAGTATTTATAGTAAGTAGCTGCCGTGTGGCCACATAGTACTATAATTA